GGGCTGGCTCTGCGGGGCGGGGGGGTCCCGGTGCGGGAAACCCCCCGTTGCAAAGCTCTCCCCTGGGGCTACCAGGGACCCGGCTCCCGGCGCGCTGCGGGCTCCCCCAGCTCGGCGGAGCGGCGGGAAAGCGACCCCAACTAACACACGCGGCCCCGAGCTGGGCGACTCCCAGCCGGGCCGAGCCGGGACAGGGGGGAGGGGTCGCTCCCCCGGGGTCCGGTCACCTCTCGGGGGTCGCCCCACCACCGGCGCCCCCCACGCCCCTACCCCTCTCTGTCCATGGGGCCCCGAAGGAAACTTTCCCTGGAAGAGTTGGAAGGACACTTTCAAACTTTGTCCCTTCCCCCTCCTCTGTCGTCTCACCCTCAGCGCGCCCCCCGATCTCTGCGTTTGGGGTCCCCCCCGGAGGCCAAACCCCCAGTGCTACTCGGGCCCCTGCGAGATGAGGAGGGGCCTCCCGGGTGGCCTTCCTTTCCCCAAAGACCCCCACATCCCCCTTGTATTCTAACAGGGAATTCATTGATATGCCTCTCTCAGCCTAGGGGTTTGGGGGTGTCAGAGGCAGAGCTCGCTGTTCCCCCACCCCGAGGCCCAGCCTGGGGACTCAGTCCCCCTCCAAGGTCCCTTGAAGAGAGAGAGTGTGTGTGTGTATGTGTGTGGTGGTGGGGGGCGGTCCACGATGGGGAGCTGCCCCAGAGGCTCCAACCAGGGACGGTCCTGGGGGCCCCTAAGTTGAGGAGAGGCCCTGGGTGTTTTAGAGGCTTGGGAAAACGGGGCACTGGGGAAGAGGTCGAGGAGGGGGTCTCGTTCCTTGGGTTGTGACTAATCCTCATAAAGTGTGCAGTTGTTCAGGGAGCCGTGTCTGGGGCCACCGCCATTTTGCTGGGAAGATGAGAGGTCTTTGTTAAAATGTGTACATCTTTTTCCGTGCTGCCCTGGTCGGTATAGACGAGACGGATACGGGCGCCACTGTCTGTGGAGTCCTGAGGCTCTGAGGGACTTTAGGGGCTTAGGAGTCAGCAGAAGGGATCCCCTAAGACCTAAGGACCCCCTGTCAGCGGCCGACTTACTACTCACATGCGGTGCGCTTAGCAGCGGCCCTGGGCTGGGATTCTGGGATGCTTGCTTCCTGGGTCCCCTCCCTCAACAAACCTGCTTTTATTCCCTAAGAGCCCCATCACTCTTAAACAATTACCCTGGGAATGGGGGTTGTTTGTTTGTTGCTGGTCAAAATGATGAACGTATCTCCGGTGTGATGCGGGAGCTGTTTGCAGACATAGTGGCCTGCTGGGGGCGGGG